CATTTTGGCCTCAATCAAACGAAAAAAACATCAAATTTTTCTTTTTAAATTAAATATAGTATATATCAATGAAACAATAAAACACATAAACAAATAAACAACAGATCAGAATGAAATGAGCTGCAGAGGCCGCTGCCCCTTCAGCACGTCATAAGATCGTGCGTGCGTGCGTGCGCGCGCGCGTGTGTGGCGGGGCGACCCATTTATAATAATAAAGAACAATGACATAATAATGATTTTATAGGAATATACAAATATGTTTCTCTTCTCCGTGACATCTATGGGAACACCTGCACTCCTTCACAAATTCTCTCAAACCCTTCGTATAAAGAATACATATCTGTATATTTCAGCTTGTTTTTTCCACATTCATTTATAAATACTCCGTTTTTATTTATTTTTAAATGTTTAGTTTTTTGTTTTTTCGTCTTGTTTAATGGCCATTTCTCTTAAAGAAGTATTAGTATAAGTACAGGAGTATCAGTATAAGTATAAGTACTGGAGTATTATTATCAGTATAAGTATAGGAGTATTAGTAGTATAAGTACAGGAGTAGTATCAGTAGTATTATTATCAGTACAAGTACAGGACGGGCTCTCTGGGCTCGGGTGTGTGGCTCTTAAAAGAGCCTTTGGTTCGGGTTGTCTCGAGTGTGTTCGGTCACTTCTCACTTCTTCTTGCTCGCGGTCTTCTTGGACGGTTTGGGCTTCGCCACCCTCTTGGCTGGAGCTTTCTTAGCCGGAGCCTTCTTAGCCGGCGCTTTCTTCACCGGGGCTTTCTTCGGGCTCTTGGCGGCTTTCCTCGGGCTCTTCGCGGCCTTCTTGGGGCTCTTGGCCACAGCTTTCTTCACCTTCTTCGCGGACTTCTTGGCGGCCGCGGACTTCTTCGCGGGGGTGGCGGGCTTCTTGGCCGCCGGACTTTTCTTGGCGACGACCTTCTTGGCTTTGAGCGGAGCCTTCTTAGCGACCGCTTTCTTGGCCTTGGTGTCGACCTTCTTGTTCAGCCTGAAGGAGCCGGAGGCGCCGGTTCCCTTGATCTGGATCAGGACCTCCTTGTCGACGAGGGTCCTGACGGTGATCCTGATGCGGGCCTTGTTCTTATCCGTGTCGTAGCCCAGGCCCTTCAGGCCCTTCTTCAGGCCGGCCAGCGACATGCCGCCCCGCGAAGTGGACTCGGACAGGACCTTGACGATGAGGTCGCGGAGCCTGGGTCCCGTCTTCTTGGGCTTGCTCGCCGCTCTCTTCACGGTCTTGGCCAAAGCCGAAACTGGAACTTCTTCCGTCATGATTCTGCTGCTGAGTCTCAGAGTGATGAAGTCCTGCTGCAGGAGGCCGTACTTAAACACAACATGAGAACCGTGGAGACTCAACTCTGCCCGCCGCGGCTCTGTGTGGCGTCAACACCGGATACTTGTGTTTTCTTCTCACCGATAAAACGCCGAAAAATCACCGTGGAAGAGGAGCCGAGTGTCGACAGCGGCGGCAACCGACACCGAACGTGTGTGTCTTCAACTCGGAGGTTCGCAGAGCTCCGGGGATCGGGGCGTTCTGTCCACGGAGCTCATAAACGTCGCATGTTCGCCGCGGTGAGCGGCGTCGATCACCGTGTTTTCCCACTAATTTCTCCCCTAAAATGGTTAAAAATGCTCCAGAGCTCCAACAAAACCTGCTCACAACCTGCCCCAAATGTTCGTCCAGGGGCTCGGTGTAAAAACACCGAGATACCGATGATTGTTTTATTTTAAACGGAAGCTTTCTGTCGGCAGCAAACACAGCGAGGATCAGGGCGCAGTGGACCCGAGCTGAGAACATTTGTCCTGCGGGCTGCGGCTCCACGGTTCATCTCGAATCTCATAATTAACACAAATACAATAATTCAACACACGAAGGTTCACAACAAGTCATCGAACAGTTCACAAGTTACCGCTGATTGATATTTATATGAATGAACTCTGGCCTGTGACTTGTATGTTCTGTTGATTTGAAGGTGTGAATGGAACTCGTTCACATTAATGCACATTATTTATTTCATATAGTTTCACCTTGTATTTCGTGATATGATGATATTTAACAGTGAGGCCTCATCTGTTCACCTGGTAAATACATTACTATTACATTTGTTCACAGATTAATGTGACATACATGTGAAAACAGGAAGCAATACTCTAACATATAGATGATATTAGATATATAGATGATAGCTAGATAAATAATAGATAGATAATATCTATATATTATCTATATTATATATTATCTCTCTATATATATATAGAGAGATAATGCATAATAGATAGACAGATAAATAATAGATAGATCTATAGATGATAGACAGATAAATAATAGATATATAATATATATAATATAGATCTATAGATGATAGACAGATAAATAATAGATAGATGTGTACTTATTGATACCAAATTGTGAAATTATTGGTATGAAAGTATTTGATAGAATCTCCTCCTGGTCAATAAAAGAGAAAAGTCCCCGGTGTCGTGGTGAAGTGACACATGTAGAGTCAGTGAAACGTGTGAGTCGTATGACAGATCCGTATCCCACACATGTTGATACATACAGATCCGTGTCCCACACATGTTGATACATACTTAGTTCATTATTGTTGAATGAATATTACAGTATTAACATTATTCCATCAATACTGTCGTATTGTGATGAACCTTTGTCGTGTGGATCTGTGAAGAGTTTGTCTTGTGTCTGCTGAAGCTGCTGGAAACTGTTCCACTCTAAAGCTGAAGCTTTCTATCATGATTCAAGGTTCTCATCTACTTTATCGTCCCCGTGGGGACATTTGTGTTGGACTGAAGGTTTGAATCCCAGAACCTGCTGTGGTCTGGTGGTTTGTACATTTCTCTGGAGACACTTCAGTTATTTTGATGAATAATGATTCACTTTGTGGATCCATTCATTCTGATGAACCACGTGAGGAGTGGGAGCTGACGTGCTTCATGGAGCCTGGAGGACGAGACCCAGTGAGTCACTGGACACTTTGGACTCAGGACAGTTGGAGACAAACACTTCTGTCTGTGACTTTGTCTCTGGGCTGATTCAGAGGACACGAGACAGTAACACTAACAGTAATGACCCTCGATCACATGAACCTCGGTCAGGGGGAGTTGAGCTGTTGGACTCAGGACAGTTTGTCTCCATAGAACCGGTGTGTGGCTCTTAAAAGAGCCGTTGGGTGGATGTGGCGTCTCGGCAGTTTACTTGGAGCTGGTGTACTTGGTCACGGCCTTGGTGCCCTCGGACACGGCGTGCTTGGCCAGCTCCCCGGGCAGCAGCAGGCGGACGGCGGTCTGGATCTCCCTGGAGGTGATGGTGGAGCGCTTGTTGTAGTGGGCCAGGCGGGAGGCCTCACCGGCGATGCGCTCGAAGATGTCGCTSACGAAGGAGTTCATGATGCCCATGGCCTTGGAGGAGATGCCGGTGTCCGGGTGCACCTGCTTCAGCACCTTGTACACGTAGATGGCGTAGCTCTCCTTGCGGGTCTTCCTCCGCTTCTTGCCGCCCTTACCGGGAGCCTTCGTCACCGCCTTCTTGGAGCCCTTCTTGGGCGCAGTCTTCACTGGGTCAGGCATCGTCTCTCCGGTGCGTCACTGAGCCTCGGTCCCGAAGAATGAGGTGAGACGGTTCTTATACAGGCTCTATGCAAAGACAACTGTTTGGTCGCCCGCCTGTGATTGGCTGAGCTGATCACCAGGCAGACGGTGACAGGGTTTGTATTTTGATTGCGTAACATTAATTATTTCATTTATAATGAAACCGAACAAACAGTGACTTGAATTCAAACGATCCTGTGTGTATTTATATCCGTCCTCACAGATACTACATTATAATATATTTCTACATGATTTAATGATTGAACACATCATTCATACTCATACTATGTACATATACATTTACTTCTACAGCCACACACTTAACTACATACGTTTCAAAAGGCCATTCAAATAATGGTGAATGAAAAATCTGCAGTTTATCACAATTTACTAATAAAAAGTTGTATTTCTACGAGTTGTTCAGGTGGATAACGACCTCATCGTCATGTTGTGTGATTAAGTTCATTGTTGAACAGTTCAACGTTTTCATTGAAACAACAAACTCTCAAATCAGCGGCAAACCACGATCCCGTCGTCCTCGTCACTTCCTGTTCCCTGCTCCCTCAGGTGTCGCTGCTGGCTGTGGATGAAATGCACATGAACCTGCCTCACATGACCAAAGACATGTACTGGAACGACTGCGACGCTCGACCACCGTACACGCTGGCTGCGGCCGACTACTGCATCCCCTCGTTCCTCGGCTCCACCACCGACATGGGGTCAATACACAGAAACACATATTTTACATGTTAAACTATTAAACTAATTGTCTCAATCTTTTTGCTGAAGATGATTGTTGTTGATTTTTTGTTGTTGTCAGATATAATAGATGAATTATAGACATTAAACATCTTCATTATGGAAGTGGAACTGTCCTTCATAGTCTCCTCCAACAGCCGAACTGTTTTTTAATCTTAATCCCACGTCTCTTTCAGACTTTCAGACATTCTGCAGTTTGATGAGGTTGACGTTATCGACAGTTGTCCTCAGCAACCGGACTCTGTGTTGACACGGCGCCAAGAGTCGGTAATGCAATGTTTTTTTAAACCCTGCTAACAAGGTTAAGGTTTTATCCCAGTTCAATTATTTTATTCATAAACTAGAAATCTGAAAATGTGATTTGCAGGTTCTGGGGCGAGTCCGTCGGCTGCTTAGCGTTCAAGAGCCTCCTGAACTCCGGCCTCCTCGAGCCGCCTTCAAACGGCACAGCAGTGATGCAACAGGAACCTTTTTCCCAGACTTCAGGTGCAGGTCAGTATCGTTAGTTTCCATTTTCCAACAGTTCTATCACACAGCTACATGCTCACTGAAAGCTGCATCAGGAGAAACTGGGGGGGGCACAGAGGAAGCAGAGTTTACTCAGTTGTCAGAAGTAACTGGAAACACTGTTAATTACTATGGAACACGTGACAACTCCAGTGTGTAAAGAGGCGTGTGACTGTTTTTGTGCTAATATTTCTCCTCTTCAACATTTACATGTGTTTAAAACAGACTTAGATGTAATTATATGGTCATTTCAATCTTCTTTAAATCACACAACTGTGCAATTAAAACTAAATAACACAATAATTGATTATTACACACACAAAGCATTTCAGTTGTCAACATGAGCGTAGATTAATGTTCCAGATAATGAACAAACCTCAGATCAGAAAACACTGGTGACTGTCATCATGGTGAAATCAGTGGGTTTGATTTGTTGGTGAATGAGGATCTGATGGTTCTGTTCTCACTTCCTGTTCACTCAGGCTCAGTCCAGGTGAAGGTGACATGGCCCCGCCCCCTGTGTTGGTCACGCCCCCTCACCCCATGGACAGCTTGTCCACATTGAGGGAGGTCAGCAGCCCCCCCTCCCCTGAGAGCTCCCACTCTGCGGTGTTCCCCCAGCTCCTCATCAGCCCGCCTCTGTTCGGCGTCTGTGACAAGGCGGATTCTACTGTCAACGCTGAGGTGATGAACGTCCACAACGGTTTGGAACCGTCCTCCACAGAGGAGGCGCCAGGTCTGGAGAATCCAAGGTGATCCATCGTGACATTTGAGTTTGTACTTCTCTGTTGTACTAAAACTATTCCGCTGTGGGTTTGAGATTATCGGCTGAAAGAAATTACAGCCAGTCTCTTTGTTAACATGATTCCGTTTGCTCATGACCTCGCCTGTGTCTGTCAGCAGAATCTGCTCTTGTTCAAATCTTGTATTTCTAAGTATCGATTCCTTTGACTTTGATATCCACTGTTCTTCCAGGGCCACCTCCTTGGTTTGTTGCTCCCCCACTCAATTAGGACCAAAGGAATTCCAGTGGACAGCGACGGATATACAAAATCGTCCCTTGACTCGACCACGAAGGCGTCAGTACTCCCTCCAGTTTTCCAGGCAGACGTCAAAGTCGTCAATTCGCAGTCTGCCGAGCCCAAAGGGCCTGGGGAGGCAGAGGCGATGTCTGGCCCGATTGCAATCCAGAAGATCACCCGGTCCACCGACTGACACTCTGCAGCTCCCTGACCCCGAGCACGACCCCAGCTTCCAGGGAATGACAGATGATGAAGAGTCGGACAGAACCAACAACAGCAAGGAAGTCAGAAACAACAACTCCCAGTCGCAGAGTTCAGGAGAGAAAGGAGAATCAGTCACTTAGCAACAGAACCAGTCACTGAGCTGGGAACGTCATTACTTGAACAATCTGAGGCCTGAACCTCCGTCTACTGATTTGTTTCGTTACTTGTTGTGATTCTTCGACCTTCAGCGTGGTCTGCTTTTGGGTGTTCAATACATTTGGCTACATCCGAAAAAATACTGACTATTAATATTAAATAATGACTTTAATTGATAAAAGATAAATCAGGGCACCATCCTTCAAACGAAGGGAAAGGAGCCAATCTATTGATCAAGTCTCATGAAATTACTGACTGCAAATTTGGAACTCTGATTAATAATTAAATGAATGACTATAACCAAAATGACCACATCAATAGATGGCACAGTTGAAGGATATGGAGTTCTTGAAGGTGGAGTTGGCGACATCAATAACGACGTGTGTTAAGAGAAATATTTATTATGAAACTAATAAAAGTATAAAAACACAAACTAACAAAAGGTGTACTTACTTTATACAGATGTGTGTGTGTGTGTGTGTGTGTGTGTTAAGTTTGTGGAGATGAGTGTGTGAGGTGCCAGGTTGAAGAGAGTCGTTAGAAGCATGCAGAGAAAGTGAACAGAACTAACATTAACTTTCAAATAACAAATTACCAAATATCACAACAACACAAGTCAAACTTATAAACATCACATGAAATAGAAATAAGAAGTGAAAGTTGATAATAAAGCCCAGTTGTGTTACCTGTGCTGTTTGAAGTCCAGTGAAGGGTCCGACCTCGTGTCGTGCTCAGTTGTGCTGAAGTTCTTCGACAGGCTCTCGCTTGCTAGTGGTTAATAGAGGAACTGCAGGTGATCTGCACGTTTACTGAAGGGCAACTTTTTAAAATGTGGTTAAACCTGCTTTAAAAAGGTGTTTGACTTCTTTCACTTTGTCGGAGAAGCAGTTTGCCTTTTCTTTTTTCCCCGTGCATCATGAACGCACTGAAAACCGAGGCCCTCTCACCTCACCGTCTGGCCCAGTTAGCTTGTGTACATGCAGAGTCATTTGACCTTGGCGTGATGGATCCACTCACGCAGACAACAGCCAGATATTAGTGGGTTCTTCGAAAAGTTTAAAAAGAGTTTTAAGCTCAGACCCCAAAACCAAACTGTGGTTAGGGCCGATCCCATCAAGCTCCTCAGGATTACTGGTTTGAAAGGTTTCTAGAACAGAATCTTTTGATATAATCTGTGACATAATCTCTGTTTTTGAAGTGATGACTTCACCACAAATCACATTTTTGAAAATAAAACAACCAGCAATGACTAATGAGTTCATTTCTTATCCATATTTATTGATCACACAGCTGTGAGCCACTGATCAGTCATTGTTTGCTTGGGTGCTTAGCAGGCGCGAAGCCGACCCGGTCCTGTCCTCTGTCGAAGACGCTGTAGTACTCTGTCAGAAATACATCTCCCAGAATCCACAGGGGGCCCTCAGGGGAAACTATGTCCACATTCTGGAATCCACTGAAGCACAACTCCCTGTCACCAAGCATCTCCTGAACATTGGGACAGAGAGATTTCATATTTACAGAACACTGTGGAGATTGTGTTGGTGACAGGACACAGTCAGCAACCACCGTTAGTGTCGTTACCTTCCTGACATATTGTTCAGCAGTCAGCGTGTAGTCTCTTCCCCCGAGGACGAACGTCACATGAGGCAAACTGGACAACCGGGCGCAGTCGATAAAAAACTAAACACACACAAAGGTCGAGTTTCAACTCATTTCTGTTTTTCTTTTTAAATCCTCCTTTCTATCAAGTTTTAAGAATTCACTTTCAGATACGAGATTAATATTGACTCTTTTTTTACTTCTCCAATGTTTGTGGGTGTGGCTCCGATCAGTTGCTGGAGGCTGAGGATTTCATTGCTCGGTCCAGCAATTAGGGAAGTTCCTGTGTCGACAATCGCCTGGCAACCACGAGGACAAAACGAACTCACGCCCTGCACGGCCACACTGAAACACACACGTCATTATTGTCCATGGTGTGTAAACTCTTGTTTTGTTGACTATGACCAGGACATCTGCTTTTAATGAAGAATAACTGCACCTTGTCCAATAAGTCTCTTTGTACTGCCTTCTGGTGGTTGATACGTGTACTGCACAGCACACCACCACAATGTAAATTGTGACTACACACAACTGTGTGTATATTGGATGTGGTCATGAGATGTTTCTGATATTCACTAAACGTGCCACAAAAATAATAGAGTAAAAGTTATATTTCTGATTTTCAGAAGGGAAACTCATGCGAACCTGTCCAGTTTAATCTGCCAGTATCCCTTAGCCGTCACTGGAATCCAGTTAATTGGTCCAATGTACATCGACTCATCTGTTCCGCCGAGCATCAGTTCACCTTCTGTGCTGCCGCTACTTGTTCTTCTGCAGAGACACCAAGAGTTTTTATGTTTAGTCAACCGAACCTCAAACAGCAAACTAGAGAGCATAATGTGATTTAGACAACAGAAGCTTGACACACACACACACACACACACACACACACACACACACACACACACACACACACACACACACACACACACA